ATATCACACCAATGCAACTACTATAACGGCTCCAGGAGGACCACCAGCTGCTGTTAAGTGTGGTCTTTGGTGCTGTCCACCGATGAGTCCTGGTTTGGGACTACATCCGCATTCACAAAGAACACGTGTTTGGAAAAGTCCAGGGAAAGTCAACCGTCAAATGCACTCTCGCGAGGTCCACTTATAACAAGGTTGGACAATCATGGTGTGGGCAGGGATTCGTCTTGGCGAACGAACCCAGCTCGTTTGGATCCAAGGCAGCATGACTGCAGAAAAATACCACGAGGAGATAGAAGATCCTGTTATTGTCCCACACAAATTCCAAATAGGCCAGGAATTTCTACTCATGCACGGTAATGCTCCTTCCCATACGGCGCGACTGTTGTCGGCCGCTCTCTGAGACCACGATTTTCGAGTTTTGGATTGGCTTGCACAGTCGCCCGACTTAAATCCTATCGAGCATGCCTGGGACATGTTGCAACTATAAGTTTTGAGAGATTTTAACAGGATCAACAACTTTATGAACACTTGCAAAGAACATTGGATCTCTTAGTTTTATAAGAAGAAATTAAGTATTTTTATAGTACTAATTTTCTACGGCGATTTACATTTTTATTTAAAACAAAAAAATTACGATTTTTTTTATTAAACACCTTAAAATAACTTATCATTTTTCTATTTACTATATCACAAAATTCTTGATAGATTTTTAGTAATTCGATGAAATATAAAATATCCCTAGATTCTGTTAGTGTGTGTGTTTTTTTTTGCGTCCGAAGCAAATATGGACAACCCTCCGGAAAACGGGGGAGGGAGGTGGGGAATGCTCATAGCATACCACGCAGCCGGCTGCGTGGTTATGTGGAGACCCCACTAAACCCCACCTTTTAGGGACTGGCTTAACGGTCTAACTAGAGATCTCTAAGCCGTATACGAACGCGACCCTCCTTGGCAGAAAGGAGCGCGCACAAGGGGGTTGGAGGGGTTGGTGTGAGTACTTACAAATGGTAAGCAACCAACCTATATTTGTTAGTGTTAGTTGGTGTACCTTAATCAGGGAGCTACAGGACTATGGTGAATACAATGCTTAAACTTGTTATTTTATATTTAAGTAATAGAATGCAGAAAGTTATTATCAATGCTAAAAGTTCTTCGAGGTCATCTGGGTGACCTGTCCATGGGAGTCCCTCAAGGCTCAATCTCGGTCTGTTCCTATTTCTAGTCTATAGTATTATTAATGACTTACCTTCCCTTGTTGGGGACAATCATTATATAGTATTATTTACTAATGATAGTTCCTTGACTTTTAAACTTAACTATAAATCATTTAAATTATTAAATGGGTAAGAACTGTGCGCTGTTGAATCCACTGTTTCTCCCGGCATCACTCTCAACGGGAAGGTTCAGGGGGCCCTCATATATCCAAACTAGCGAGCAGACGATACCTTGCAGTTTGTTTTGTAAAAAAGATTAGAGGTCTCACCAGTGTCAAGACAGCTAGATTAGTTTATTTCAGTTATTTCCATAACATAACGTCTGATATATGTTTTGCTTTCAGGAAAAGCGGCTAATTTAGAAAATATTTTTGTTTTGCAGAAGAGAGCCATAAGAGCTATTTACAACCTTAAGAGAGTTTCTTAGAGAAAAAATTAAAGAATATTTACGAAAATATTATGTAGTATATTCACAAAAACAAATGTAGTTTTAATAAAAAAAGTGATATAAAGTGTAAACACTAGGAACAAACACAAGCTAGTGATACCAGTTTCTCAGACAATATTGCCTGTCGCCGGTCTGGATATATTACATCTCAAGTAAACGCGGTGGTTACACCGCCATCTGTCGGAAGCCATAAGATTTTCTAGCAAACACATAGTCGCCTCTTACGAAACCTATGGGACAAAATCTGATGATTAATTCTCTTACGCTGCACATACACGCCAACTTCGACATCGTAATTGTAGTTCTGTGTGGAATTCGTAACAGCGATTATTAGATTAATGCGATTACAACATGGTCAGAAGAATGTCATCATTATCATATGAATTTAGTTTATCCACCATTCTTTCCCTCCAGAATGCATATAAGAGATATTATTCTGAGTAATTGACCAAAATACTTCTATATCTAGCAACATTATATGAGTATAATTATGTAAAATATTGTAATTTCTCTATTTCTGTGTTAGCTCATAGAGAATGCCGTAAGGCATGACTCCGCCCATTGCAAACCTTTTATGGTGTCTAACAATAAATAAAATGTTTAATTCTTATGTATGTATATTATTACTTGGTCAGAAGAACATCATCAATATCATATGAATTTAGTTTCTCTACCATTCTTTCTCCCTAAAATGAATATGAGAGACATTATTTAGAGTAATTGGTTAAAATACTTTATATCTAGCAAAATTATTAAGTATATTTATATAAAATATTATATTTTCTCTACTTCACCCTGGGTTGATTAATAGAGAATGTCACAAGGCATAAACTCTGCCCATAGTAAACTGTTTATGGTAACTTACAGTAAAGATACAATGTCTTGCAATAAATAAAATATATAATTCGTGTGTATTTCAGAACAACACATCATACCTGCAAATAATTTTTCAAAACCGCCTGAGAGAAAGATTAAATCAAAATCTACTTATAATAACATAAACGATGTTCATAAAGGAAACCTCGATTTAAAAAGCAATACTATTAAATCAAACTCTAAAGTGAAAGAAGATAATCAACCAATTAATAAAAAAGGAAAGGATCCTGCAAAGATTATGAAAAAGAAAATTTTAAAACAGAAGAGTGTAAATACACTTACACAAAAATACAGTTTTGAATGTGATGATTGTAACAAAAAATTTTCTACGAAGGACATTCTCGCCAAACACATTTCATACGGTCATATGACGCAAAATAACTCAGACACCACTGCAGTTTGGACACATGTTGAACAAACTTCAGTACCACAGCTACCGGAAGTATTTAATTGTTATTATTGCAAATTTAAAACATCTCATAAACGTTACATTTGCGCACATCTGAAAGCGCACAGCGCTAAACAAGTGTACTGTTGTAATAATTGTGATTATAAGTGTACCAATAGAATTAATTTGCAATACCATATGAAAGTACATACCGGAGAAAAGCCTTTTTCGTGTAATATCTGTGAATATAAATGTATTAGAAGAAGTTATTTGCGAAAACATATGAAAATACATAGCGGAGAAAAACCATTTTCATGTAATATCTGTGAATATAGATGTATTAAAAAAAGTGATTTGCAAACACATATAAAAAGGCACACCGGAGAAAAACCCTTTTCGTGTAATATCTGTGAATTTAAATGTATAAGAAAAAGTCAATTGAACAATCATTTGAAAATACACACTGGAGAAAAACCTTTTTCGTGTAATATCTGTGAATATAAATGTATACAAAAAAATGATTTGAGAAGACACATAAAACTACACACCGGTGAAAAACCTTTTTCGTGTAATATCTGTGAATATAGATGTATTAAAAAAAGTGATTTGCAAAGACATATGAAAATACACACTGGAGAAAAACCTTTTTCGTGTAATATCTGTAAATATAAATGTATAAAAAATAATGATTTGAGAAAACACATAAAATTACACACCGGTGAAAAACCTTTTTCATGTAATATCTGTGAATATAGATGTAAAAGAAAAGATTATTTGCAAAACCACTTAAAAAAACATGCTGGAGTAGAATCTTTTTCGTGAAATATCTGGTGAAATATGTACATATTATGTAAACGTTTTTTATAAACTAAAAGTATGCTAGATAAAAATCTATTTCTTATTTAATCATAGAACGAGTAGAAAAACCTATCTGTTGCCTTATGTGCTAATTGAAACTGCATTTATTTTGAAGAAGCTAATTCAAAAACCTAAAAACATATAAACCTTAAAGTATGAACGGAATGTGAGGTTAGTGGAAACAGAGCAGAGTTTCGTGTCTTTTTTTTAATTTAAAAGATAGTTTGTTTTCTTTTTTTGTTTCGAGCTTTATCGCTGCCCAGTGCTGGATAAGGCAAGCGCGGGTCCCTTAGCAATTTATATCGAGGGGAAAAATTATGTATGTTCACAAAAACAAATATAGTTTTATTTAAAAAAAAGTGATATAAAGTAAATACTAGGAACAAACACAAGCTAGTAATACCAGTATCTCAGAAAATATTGCCTGTCGCCGGTCTGGGTATATTGCATCCCAAGTAAACGCGGTGGCTGGTCTCAAATAAAAGCATTGATCTGCTATGGGTTCTTTAGTACAACGTGGTAAAAACAATTCAATACTGAATATCAGTCATCTAGTAGCAAATTTCGACAAAACGATTCAATAAAATTTTACAGAAATGAAAAAAAAGTTTGAAACAGAAACAACTTTACTTTACGGTTTACGGTTTAAGACATTTACTTTTTACTTTTACTTTATTAGACGATTTTCTTTTACTTCCAAGGCAACAAAAGATACCTATATAACAAAATGAAAAAAAAAAGCTGCCATTACTACCAACAAACTAGCTAAAAACAGGTTTTGATTTTAAATATGGTGGATTTTGAGACTTACTAAGTGTTATGGGGGCATTTGCAACTGAGCTTTGTGGAATAGCGGGATTTGAAACTTTTGTCATTCTATGGTGATGGTCAATGTTATGCAACAACAACTGGTCAACAGTGGTAAGTAAATAAAAATGCAGAAGTGCAATTTTACATAATAATATAATTTGAAAATAAACTAGTTGTCCTACATTGGAAATCAAGTAAACACAAAAAGTTAAATCATACTATTAGGTTACTGAAGGTAGCCGGACTAACTATGCCATTGGGACGTCAAACATCTCAGTCCCCCCGTGACCATGGGTGCTGTAAAGCACCCGAAACGTCGGGATAATAATAAAAATAAATTAAAGTAATTAAACGCGATAAAATCCGTAAATAATAGTTTTATTCAATGTTTAGTGTTCGCGTAAATTTAAGAAATCATTACTATTAGGTTGACATCCTCAAAGCCGTCTTCACAAAGGTCGCTTGGTATCTCTGCTATATCCTCGTTAATATCTGCTTGCTCATAAAACCTTCTGCCTTCCACTGTTTTATAAAACTCTAATGTTTTAATGTCTCTCCATTGCTCTCCATAATGTTTTTTCAATAGATTTGAAACATCTGTGATCTTTGCTTTCTTTGGAATCAACTGGTTTGCTGGAATAACAACTGGAGTCAACATAGTGATGCTTTTATTTTTCTTTGTTATCGGCTTCTTTACATTAATTTCAATTTTATATGACTGTTCTCCTTGCCGCAATACATAATTTGTTTTGGAACATGTCAAGAAAAACCTTTTGCACTTTTGGAACTGTATGTGCCAGCTAGTCGTTGGTTTGATAATTGGTGCGTAGGCCGATTTCCAATCTTCTACTGCAACTATATCTAAAGCAGTCATTTTACAATATTGAGTTATGATTTCTTGATATTGTTCAGGTGACGAAATGACTTCACGCTTTTCAAATCTTTCTCTGAGCAAACAGGCGGTCGGTTGGGATAAAAGAGTGCCCTACAACAGGAAAAACTATTTCTACCCTTTTGATATGTCTGGGTGCTTCTGTTGTCAACCACTTTCCAAGCATGGCTACCATGCCGGAATTTTTATTTTGCCCAGAACAGCCATCTGCTATTGTTCTTAAAACTTTGATTTCTTCTTTGATATCTACATTAGTTAAGAAGTGATGAACTGCTGAAATGATTTCATTACTACCTTTGTTGTGTATGGTTTCATTCCAGGTATATGCAAATATGTTTTCCTTGGTCAATTTTGCCTTAGTGCTACCAACTACTAAGTTGTAGAAATTGTATTGGCGGCTATAGTAGGCGGACTGATCTGGCACTTTAGGTTGCCCTAAATTTTTTTGACACTCGAAGCTTATTGTTAGAAGATCACTTCTTTGCTCCTGCAAGATCTCATAGAATGCTTTGAACCTCAAATGGTGGACTCTTTTTTCAATTATCAATTTATTTATGATCTCAGTATTTGTTTCTTTTTTAATGTTCTCATCTAATCTGTTAGATTGTGATAGTACAGTGTTTTATTATAAAATTATCTTGCAAAATCTTTGTCGGATGTTTGTAAAATGATTGGTAAAATGATTCTTATTTCTGTGCATGCTAAAATAGCGCACTGAAATGCATTGCGACTGTGTCCACATGGTGGGAATGCTGGAAGCGTATTTGGCTTGTATCTACAACAAAAATAAGGCTCATTTGAATATTCACTGTTAGTATAGATTTTATCATCAGTAGAAAGCAATAATAATACTTGTTTTATAAAACACTAGCTGACTAAGAACTTTGTACCACTTGACGTACCTACACTACCTCCGTACCCTACCCTACCATATCCTATCTATGTCCTTTTTCAGGTCATGGTCTATCTGTGTGCCAAATTTCGTCCAATTCCATGCATCGGTAACGAGCAAACAAATCAACATTCATTGTTCTATACCTAAGATAAGCATACTTATTATTAGTATATTATATAATATTAGTATTACGTTTTTTGAACAGGTTTTTTGCAGTTAAACCGAATAACTTATTATATAACCTTATGATTTCTCGAAAATAAAACAGTATTTTTATATCGCTTGTAACAATAATTAATGTAAATGCCGTCGATTTCATACGAATAGGTATAATTACACACAACACATTCGTATAAAATCGGCAGACTGTTAAGGGATAAAAGGGATAATATAAAGAACAATATTTTATTTTAGGGAAATTTATATTAGTTAGGTACTCAGTTTAGCAAGAAAAAAATTCAAATTTGAATTTTTGCGCCAAAGCATGTTGAACTATTTTCATGGTCCTGTTTTGCTTCACAACTTTTCAAATGGCAGTTGACTGTTTAGTAGAAGAAAGAAACCAACCTTTTTTCACGCAATACTTCACGTTTCCACTTTGATTTGTCAACTAATCTCTTGCGTGCTTTATGGGCTCTGATTTTTTTTATAAACTGTTGTAAATCCTCCATCTTTTTCGCACAAAAACAATAAAAAACCACAGCAACAACACTCACAGGTAACGGAATCGGCCGTACTAATATACTGTGTCACGTGATCTAATATTGGACTGCCATTGGATGGATTTGTTATGGAGGAATTTGAAACTCACACACTTTATTTTAGAGTACTTTGCACCGAACACTGTAATTAAAATGTATTTTACACCCGCTTATGGCGGAGTTTGATAGGAAAAAAATTTACGAATTTGTATTAGAGTGTAAAGTGTTTTAGCGGGATTTGAAACTAGACGACTCATATGTTTATTATAGTATGTGCCAAATCGATTGAGAAAAACGGACAATGACTTTTCGGTCGTTTAACCAGTGGTTACAAACCTTCAATATATAGACACATTTTATATGTAGTACTTTCTTTATATATAATGATTTTTTATTATTTTTTTATAATTATTGATATAATATATTTATTAACTATTATTAAAAAGTTATGTAAAAGATCGTTGTAGAAGAAAAATCATCTATTGTTATAAAGTACTTTATTCATTTAACAACAAAAAGCATTAATTTATAACACATATAAAAATTCGAGTGATAACGACACCGAATAAGTATGTACTTATTCAAAAGATAAAACTTTTTTTTCAATTAATATTGAAAAAAAAAGTTTAAAAAAATAAGAATTTACGATGTTTATAGGATATTATCGATGTACCGTAAGATTTTACGATGTTTATAGGAACCACAGACAATATTATTTAAGAAACAAAAAAACAAAACATGTTTTGTTTTTTTGTTTTTTACCTGCTGACCTAGAAGTGTTGATAATTTTAGAAACGAAAAAAAATTAAAGTAGAATGAAACCTATTGGAAAAGGAAGGGAATACCACTAAAATGAAAGGAAAAATAAATTACGGGCGATCTGAGGTTGGGAAGGGGTAGGGGGTGAGTTTTTAAGGTTAAAAATCGGTAAATCTCGATTTCCGAAAAAACTACAAGTTGTAGATAATAAAAAGATCTACAACTTTTGTATCTATAGTTATTCTCCGTAACCTCAAAATTCATGTGAAAAATCCAAAAAACCACATTTTTATCTTTTACAAAAAAAATTTTTTCAAGATATTTGGGTAAAACTTACCTCTTTATAACCCAAACACACTGGAATTTTGAAGATTTAAAATATTAATTTTTTTACCCTATTTTGACTCGATATCGAAAAAGCACCCTAATTTTCAATCGAAAATTCTCACGTCTAAATATCTGAATTTTCAAAAAAGTCGGTGGGGTTTTTGTTCGTTGAAATCTCTATTTTCTGATGGTGTAAAAAATATACATTACTATTCAATTTTTTTTTCAGAAAATGCAAAAAAACGAAAAATACTAAAATTCGAATTTTTTTTTAAATCTTTATGTACAATTTTGAGGTATTCATTAAAAATTTTACTTTAATTACTCGAAATTAAAAATTTTAAGTAAATTAAAATAAAATTTCGTTTATTTTAATTTACTTTAAGTATTTAATTTGAAATTATTATCTTGTAATCGCATACTAAAATATTATTCGATTGTAATTTTTAGGTTATGTTAGGATAAACATACTATTTTATAAAAGAAAATATTACTATTTTTATTTTAGAGCTGATAGATACTGATTAAAATTCAGGTAGTATTTATCTTGCTATGTAGATTCCAGAACTTTTTTTTAAAGTGAATTCTTGTAAAGTAACTTAGCCTGCAAGTGTATTTTTAGGAACGATGTTATGTACTGCACTGCATCTCGAATACTGGCTAACGGTTTTTACAGCTGCTACGAAATAACAGGTAGTAAGGCCCAGACCCTCCAAGCCCCTTCCCCACTTCTCTATGAAATACCTTTTGATGGGCTACAATTTCCCGAAGGTCATTTAGCTATATAGCTATGATTTTAAAATAGCAATAAAGTGGCATCTACGCATATAATTTAAAGAAAATTCGACAAATTTCTCAAAATTTTGTAGATGTCATATTAAATATTAACTTTATTAACTTATTTAGTTGTTAGTTATAGTAGTACATTTCGACTTGCAATTTTTTGATATTAATCTAACATGGAAACTAACGTTTTTCGAGTAATTAAAGTAAAAATTTTAATGAATACCTCAAAATTGTACATAAAGATTTAAAAAAAATTTCGAATTTTAGTCATTTTTCATTTTTTGAAAAAAATTTCATAAGTAATGTATACTTTTTTACACCATCAGAAAATAGAGATTTCAACGAAAAATAAGCCCACCGACATTTTTAAAAATTCAGATATTTGACGTGAGAATTTTCGATTGAAAATTAGGGTGCTTTTTCGATATCGAGTTAAAATAGGGTAAAAAAATTAATATTTTAAATCTTCAAAATTCCAGTGTGTTTGGGACATAAAGAGGTAAGTTTTCACCAAATATCACGGAAATTTTTTTTTGTAAAAGATAAAAATAAAAAATCAAAAATGTGGTTTTTTGGATTTTTCACATGAATTTTGAGGTTATGGAGAAAAAGTATAGATACAAAAGTTGTAGATCTTTTTATTATCTACAACTATGCCATTTAACTTTTTTCGATAGGACTTGTAGTTTTGCCGGAAATCAAGATTTACCGATTTTTAACCTTAAAAACTCACCCCCTACCCCTTCCCAACCTCAGATCGCCCGTAATTTATTTTTCCTTTCATTTTAGTGGTATTCCCTTCCTTTTCCAATAAGTTTCATCCTACCTTAATTTTTTTCGTTTTTAATTCTTTTTCACGGCTTCGACCCTGGTCTATGTTAATAATATCAATATTTAAATATTGTTATCACATCTAAATTAAGATTTTGTAAGTTACGCCTTTTGACACTCGGCTTATATCTTATATATTTTTGACGTGGTAGAGCCATGCTGCAATTATATTAGTAGTATAGTTGTAGCACGAATGGGTCGGCTCGACCGGGGAAGGACCACGCTCTCACAGAATACCAGCGTGAAATAGTAGCTTAATGCTGCTGTGTTTCGTATGGTGAGTGTAGAGAACCGGAGACCCTTTTTACTGGAAATGAGGCATTCCATCTCAGTCCTCACGGGTGACAACGCATCTGCATTTTGATTTGTAATGGAAGATAGATGTAGATGTCTATGGGCCGCAGCAACCACTTACCATCAGGTGGACTGTGTGCTCGTTTGTCACCCTATCCTATAAAAAAAAAAAAATCTGTGGTCATTGCCCGTTTTTCTCAATTGATTTGGCGCATCCTAAAGCCATCTATAGGTTAATAGATATAAGAAACTAGCTTGCCAGGCAGTAGACGTGGGTCGGTACGTCATTTTCAAGAAACATAACGAAACCAGTGACTTAATCGGCGTCACCTGTTTCAAAACTAGCGATTTTTGTAACTGGCTATTTTTATTCGGCTACTGTGATTGTTTACATCAATATCATCACCAACTATACAGTTACACACAAAACGAAAATTTAATCACAATCTGTGTTTGTAGCTATACAGTTAAATCAATAAATTAACTTCCCTTCATACTTTATTCAGGTTTAGGACTGACTGCATTAAATGTATTTATGATTGATTTGCGTTTACTACGAAACTAAGATTTTCATAAAATTATTAATGCAGGCGTATTTACAAGTCAATTTGGTAATTGATATTTACAGTTTATTTACACTTTTCAACGTTTTCACTATCATTTGTTTTTGTACTTTTATTTACACTGTACAATTAATTTGTTTGTTTGTTTGGCTATTTACACACAGTTTTTAAGTTTTATAATATTATAAACATTTAAATTTTTAATTTTTTTTATACACATGTTTTAGTTTTATTTTAATTTTATGAATAAATGAGTTCATGACTCCGTCAAAAATGTTCGACCGACAGTCGACTCCCGCAATAATCATGGTTAACAGTAATCATAATCACGCATTTACAAAAATCACTACTTGTAACATGACACGAAACTAGTGATTCGATTACATGACGCGTAGCCAGTTACTGTATCTAGTGACGTGAAATAACGCCCACGTCTACCAGGCAGACGTTGTTCTGCCATTTTCGACGACCCTTTGTGATGTCCTATTAAAAATCCTTAAATTCGAAAAAAAATTGTAGGTTATTCATTGGCAAAAAACTATCCTATCTCTCAATTTGGACCAAACTGCACATGGTGTGAAAATTTTATTAAAATCGGTTGAATAGTTTAGGAGTCTATCGCGGACAAACAACGTGACACGTAATTTATATATATTAAGATAATACTATCCGTATTAATATCTCTAAGCAAATTATATTCTATATTCAGAGATAGAGATACCATAAGTGATATAAAGTGTATACACTAGGAACAAACACAAGCTAGTGATACCAGTTTCTCGGACAATAACTGACGATACTTTTAATTGTGAATCTTTTTTAAGTACATATTTTAACATTTATATGTATTACAAAGTAGGTATGTAATATTTTTCGGAATAGCTAAATTATATTTTAGCAGTGGTTTACTTTAAATTATGTATATATTTTATATTTATTTACCTGTTTAAATTGTTACTTTTTAACTTTTGCAAAGTAGCTTTTCTAGATTTCATGTGGCCAAATTTAGTAATAATACTATCTGTATCAATATCTCATAGCATATCATGTTCTATATTCATTAGGGATATAATTCAGGCGTTCGTGACTCATAGTATTCCTTAATTTTTATTTTATATGGTTCAATTGAACATTCACCACTGCAGTTATTGATCATGAGAGGCAATAAACGCGAAAGCAATTTCTAAGTTGGGGAAACAGGATTCTAATGAATTATCCATTAGGAGTTTATAGTATTGAATTCCCAGATATTTGTTTTTCGTACTGTCAATTGCACCAACCACATGAGTTTTGAGCATAGAATACTATAATACACAATAGAATGGCTGTCAAACTTTTTTGTACGAGATTCGGCGTCGCCGGGAGCACACATACAAGCAATTACGTCGTATTATCAGTTAATCACTACTA